AAGGGGGGGGAGGAGGGTGGCGGGGGGGGGGTGAGGAGTGCAAGTGGGCAGCGGAAAGGAGATGAATATGCAGGGGTGATGGACAAATTGGGGGAGCGCCGCGGCGGTGGAGCACAGCTGCTTTGGGGCGCAGGGAGCGGGAGGACTACTGGGCTGCCCGCTGCGCTGCGCGGCTGCCACAGTTTGAAGGGGCGCCCGCAGCGGTGGCTGCCTCGAGCGCGTGCGCGCGCGACGCGCCAAGGTCGCACGGCGACGCCGCATCCATGCGCACAGCGAGCGCTGCACCACGCGCGCGCACGTACACACCCCACGAGCCGCGGCTGCCTGCTGGCCGCGGACCGCGGCGCCCGGGCCGCGGCGGGCGCCTGCTGCGCGCCGCCGCTGGCGGCTCCAACCTGCGCCCTGCTCCCCTGCTTATGCCCCAAAGGACAACAATTTGAGCCCCCGGCTGGCGCTCACTGTAGATGTAGATCTTGTAGGTCTCCGCCTTTGAGACCTTCTTCTTCTTGGCCTTGCCGTCCGCGGCCTTCTTGGCGGGGCCCTTCTTTGCGGGGCCCTTCTCGCCGACCTTGGGGGCCATGGCTGCGGCTACTGCACGGCAGCGGGTGGGTGGAGGGGGGGCGGCATCGCATGCGCTGTTGGCGGCGGGCGGATCAGCGTCCGTCGGCGACACTGGCAAAGGCGCTTGCGCGGCTCGGTAGCAGGCGGGGGCCAACGTGGCGCGGCCTATCGGATGCCTGGCTCGGCGCTGGGAGCGAGCAGCGCTACTACCGCGGCTCGCATGCTGATCATGCGATGTGGGGCGCGCTGCGCCGCTCGCGGGCGCAGGGTGGCGTGCCAAGCGCAGCGCAGCGCAGAAACTTGATCTCACTGCAAATTTACGCACTCGAGAGGGCTGTGTTGTAAGCAGGCAAAAATTCACGCGCGCAACGGCTCCGGTCGAGCGTCAGTCAAGAATAGACTATCAAACAAACGTGAAAGATTCTGTGTATTGCGGCATGATCAGATGCCTCTGGTGGAATAAGACTCTGCGAGCACAGAGTTCGTAGCTGCCCTTCAGCTACCCTCCATGGGCTTGGCCTGCCACAACACACTTCTTGCTAGCAAAGAGGCGAAAAATGACGCTATACTTGTTGTTGAGACTCTATTACAGACATCAGTCACTAAGCTACTTATGTAGCTGTCAGCAGATCGCATGGCCCAGTGGCAGCACCACAGCGGCGGCACCGTTGCCAGTTGTCATCACTCTGACTGTCGAATCCTTCAAGACCACGAATCCAACACTTGACATGACACATCTACCTGGAATGCACTCAGCTACCTGCAAACGTGTTGCATTCGGTGCGTTGATTGGCCAGCTCAAGTCAAGCTGGCAGTTGGCAGTACGGTGCAACGGTCAAGCTGAGCAGCTTGCTTGCCTCGAACTTGCATCCGCCTTTGCCGCCCGTTACCCCACCTCCGCAACAAGCGGGACCCAAGCGGTATACACATGACAGCAAGCATGTTACAGAGTACGTACCAGAAACAGAGCAAGTTGGACACTCTCATGACCGCGCAACCCCTGCAATGATCGCCACTCTCGTCCTCAACCCGACTGCAGTGGCACCCAAGGAAGTGCGCAAGCCGCGCGCAGCAGCGCAGGTCCCCTTGAAATTGCAGGCACGCGGACTGTGCGTGAACTCTGCAACAGAGGCCCTGGACTGCGCCCGCTGCTCCTCACTCCCAGCCAGAGCCCCCGCCGCTCGGCGCCAGCCGCCCGCCGGGCCCCTCACGCATCGCCACCGCCGCCGCCGCCACCACTGCCGCTGCTGCCGTTTGCGACAGCGCCGCCACTATTGGCGACTGCGCCGCCGCTGCCGCCGTTGGCCTCAGCGCCGTCGCCGCCGCTGTCGTCGCCGGCGCCAACGCCGCCGCCGCCACTGCCGCCCTCGCCCCCC